TACGGAGATAATTAGTGATAGAACAGTTAAAATAAAAATAGGCCAGAAGATATATGAAAGACCAATAAAAATAATATATCCATTAGAAATTGAAGAAGAGGAATAAAATTATAGAATAAAAATAAATAATTAAATAAATAAATATATATAAATATAGAAAAATAATAATAAAAGAAATATAAACCAGAAATATAATATATAAAACAAATATAAATAGAATTATAAAACATTTAATAAAGTATCAATAAAGTAATAAAGTTAAAATATAAACATACAAATTTAAATAATAAATTTAAATAAATTTAAATAATTTTAAGATGTATAAACAACAAAAAATAGAAATTCACAATCCAACTCTATTTATTACTAATTATATTCCAACAAAATTAAGGGCTTTTTTAGTGGCGAAAAGAATTCCTGCAACGGTATATGTACCTAATTTTTGGAGAAGCAGCCTGATAGGAAATGAGATACAATTAAAGAATGAAGTAAAGACAGTAGTTGTTTTGAATAAAGACTATGAAGAGGGATTAATAGAGCTAATGAAGAAATTAAAACAAATAGCAGTGTTGAGTAATATAGATGTATTTTGGTTTCTAAAACATCCTAATTCAAGATATTTTCAGAATATAGTCGGGGATAATATTATAACTAGGGACAGCCAAAACATGCAAATGCATGTTTTGTATGCGGATATGCCTTGATGTGGGAAGCCCAAAAATGGTGTTTTTACATGTGTCCGAGCACTTTAGGACCCGGTTCTTAATGCATATATTTGCATATTTCGGCCCTCTCGTGCATATTTGCATATTTGTCCATATTTTGGCTAATTTTGCATATTTTGGTCCATATTTCGGCATTTTTTGTAAAATTATGCTATAAATTGACCAAAATTTTAAAATTTTTTGGTCAAAAATTTTTTTATAAAATTTTTTATATTTTTTATAAAAATTTCTTGAAAAAATATTTGCGAAAATTTTTTTGGGAAAAATTTTTTCACAAAAAATTCTTGCAACAGTTTTAAATCCATTAAATCTTTTAGGAGTGCTATTAAAATGTAAAATTCAGGCTAAATTATTGTTTTTAAATTAAAATATTGATTTTTATAGCATATTTTAACTATTTTTTGTTGCATATTTCAGTGCATATTTTAGCAAATTTTGCATATTTTAGTGCATATTTTGGGCTTTTTCGGTGCATATATATGCGCATATTTGGCGATTTTCCGTGCATATTTTGGCTGTCCCTAATTATAACACTTGAAGATAAAGAGGAAGATTGGCCGGAAATGATTAGTGAGATGGCTCATAAAGGTATTGATTTTGAAGCAGGAAATAGAGCGAGAGTTGGGGAATTGCCAAGAAAAAGAAGAAATTCAAGAAAATTTTTATAAAGACTACCAAAAATTTGAGAGAGGAGAAAGAAGAAGAAGCCCTTCGCGAAAGAGGGAAAGGTCGATGGATGCAAAAAGATATAGAGAAGATTTCAACAATATTAATTGGAACGAAAAGCGTCAAAAATGGGGTAATAGAGAAAAGGAAGTTTTCACTTATAGAGTGCCAGCAAAAGGGAGAAATTATGAAAAAGGAGATTATGAATATGTCAATAAAAATACAAAGAAGAATTATTGGGAGGAAGGTAAAGAATCGAATAAAAATTTTTGGGAGAAAAAAGAAGAAAATAATAAAGAAGGGAGAAATAGGGAAATAAAATATAATAGAGCAGGCTCAAGTAAAGGAAGTTTGGATGAGGAAAGATATAGTCAAAGTACCAGCAACACATCAAAAGGTTTGGAAAAAAATTATCAAATAAAAGAAAAATATTGTCTGCCAGAAAATTTTTTAGAAGAAATAAGGATAATAGATAAAGAGATAATGTTAAATAAACTAATAGAGAAAAACGCAAAGGAAATATCAGATGAAAATTGGCAAATTATACTAGAAAAAGAATACTATGAAATTAAAAAGTTTTTGGAAGAAAGAATAGATATAAAGATACAGTTATTTGGGAGTACACTTAGTAATTTATGTACTCAAAAGTCAGATATAGACATCGCAGTGTATGAATCAGATATAAAGAATATAGGAATATTATTAAAGAAAATTGCAAAAGAGCTTAAAATAAAGTATGGGGCAGATAAAGTTCATAAAGAAAATTTAATAATACAGGCAAAAATCCCTTTATTAGAAATGCAGATAGATAAAGAAAGTAATAGAATAACAATCCAAATAACAATAGAGAACGAAACTGGGGTAATAAATAGTCTTCACATAAGAATGTTAACAGAAATAGAGCCAAAATTAAAATATATATGGATGAATATTAAAAAATGGGCAGAAATAAATAATGTAATCGATTCAAAAAATGGAAGATTTGCAGCATACTCTCTTAATAATGGTCGACTTTTATTTATTAAGCTTGAGTAAACCAGCAGTACCAAATATATGGAAAATAATAGAAGAAGAAAGGAATTATAGCGAAATAAATCATGTAGATTTGGGAAATAGAATATTCGAGAATATAGGAGAAAGCTTTGAAAACACAGAATACGGAACAGCAAGACTTTTCGCAGGATTTTTTAAATTTATGGTTGATATAGATTTTGATAAATACAGTATTAGTAATACAGAAGAAAATTGGCTGAAATATAAAAATACAGAAAAATATCCGGTTGTAATAGAAAATCCATTTAACACTCAACAGAATTCTGCAAGAAGTGTTAAAAAGGAAAATTGGGAAAATATTAAAGAAAAATTTACAATAGCGAATAATAAAATAATATAGGGTATTAATAGAGAATTGTTTCACGAATTAATAGGGAATAGAGAAATTTGCGAAAAATTAAGTGAATTAGATTTGCAAAAAGAAGAGGAAATATTAAAGGAAGATGAAAATGAAGAAAAGATTGAGAATATTGATTTGGAGAAAGCTGAAAAGGAATTATTTAAAGAAAATGAGGAAGATTTAGAGGAAAAGAAGACAAAGGAAGAAAAGAGCCAAAATAAATGTAAGAAAAATAAAGCTTGGGTAAATAAAGGAAAAACTTATAAATTAGGGACCACTCTAGGACTAATAATATTGATTAATATTCTCACATTAATGAACAGTGCTATTGCAATAAGACCTATGATCTGTCACCACTTAAAAAAGAGTAATTTAATAAAGTTTAAAATAGATAACTCAGAATGTAAGCAAGTTATTAAGCTTCTGAATAAGAATGTGTTAAGTGGGAGTATGGATATTTTTAAACCAAATACAATAGAGTTCAGTTTTTATGGATTGAAATGCGTCGCAATAAAACAAGCAGTCGACTATAGAACAGATTTTCTAGGATACTCACACCAAAAAGCACCGGAACAAAAAATAATAAAAATAACGCCGGTCTTTCTAAAAATAACGCCGGTCTTTCTAAGTATTCCCAATAATCTAATTTTATTAAAATTCCACTTATTGACCAGTTGTTAGTAGGTGGATTAATCCATGCTCCTTGTTGCTCTATCGGTCTATTGTCTATTCCCCTATGTCCTAAACTACTGTGCATCAATTGTAAAATGTCAAGCTGATTTTCTGATATATTGTTTAAACTATCTTTAACAAAAATATGAACCGCTAAATTTGGGACTCTGAATATCTTTTTATTTGCTATTTTTTCTTCAATTATGTCTTTTGACTTTATTTCAGCTATATCTCCACTCCACTGGTCTATTTTTAAAAATTTTTCGTCAATTTTGGTTGTAATATATCTAAATTTGTCACAAGGACCTCTGTCACTAAAACTTCTTATTATTAAATTCTGTGGGTCTATAAATCCTTTTATTACTCCATTTTTCATGCTAATATTCGCTGGTATATCTTTAAAACACGCGCCATCGACAGACGGTGTGATGGTATAATTGGTTGGTGTACATTCCCAGAATTCTATAATATTTTTGTCTACCCAGTTAGCCTCTAAATAATCATTATTATGCTTTTCTCTAATAAATTTGGTTGCTTCTAAATGTGATAGCCATGTAGTATATTGGTTGCTTTCTATTGTTTCGCAGAGTATGTTAATTATATTTTCTAGCGCTATCCGATTTTGTTTGTCCCGAAAAACTGCTTCAGCTTGTAATCTAGATAATACATAATTGAAGAAAAAATAGCAAATAAAAAGATATTCAGAGTCCCAAATTTAGCGGTTCATATTTTTGTTAAAGATAGTTTAAACAATATATCAGAAAATCAGCTTGACATTTTACAATTGATGCACAGTAGTTTAGGACATAGGGGAATAGACAATAGACCGATAGAGCAACAAGGAGCATGGATTAATCCACCTACTAACAACTGGTCAATAAGTGGAATTTTAATAAAATTAGATTATTGGGAATACTTAGAAAGACCGGCGTTATTTTTAGAAAGACCGGCGTTATTTTTATTATTTTTTGTTCCGGTGCTTTTTGGTGTGAGTATCCTAGAAAATCTGTTCTATAGTCGACTGCTTGTTTTATTGCGACGCATTTCAATCCATAAAAACTGAACTCTATTGTATTTGGTTTAAAAATATCCATACTCCCACTTAACACATTCTTATTCAGAAGCTTAATAACTTGCTTACATTCTGAGTTATCTATTTTAAACTTTATTAAATTACTCTTTTTTAAGTGGTGACAGATCATAGGTCTTATTGCAATAGCACTGTTCATTAATGTGAGAATATTAATCAATATTATTAGTCCTAGAGTGGTCCCTAATTTATAAGTTTTTCCTTTATTTACCCAAGCTTTATTTTTCTTACATTTATTTTGGCTCTTTTCTTCCTTTGTCTTCTTTTCCTCTAAATCTTCCTCATTTTCTTTAAATAATTCCTTTTCAGCTTTCTCCAAATCAATATTCTCAATCTTTTCTTCATTTTCATCTTCCTTTAATATTTCCTCTTCTTTTTGCAAATCTAATTCACTTAATTTTTCGCAAATTTCTCTATTCCCTATTAATTCGTGAAACAATTCTCTATTAATACCCTATATTATTTTATTATTCGCTATTGTAAATTTTTCTTTAATATTTTCCCAATTTTCCTTTTTAACACTTCTTGCAGAATTCTGTTGAGTGTTAAATGGATTTTCTATTACAACCGGATATTTTTCTGTATTTTTATATTTCAGCCAATTTTCTTCTGTATTACTAATACTGTATTTATCAAAATCTATATCAACCATAAATTTAAAAAATCCTGCGAAAAGTCTTGCTGTTCCGTATTCTGTGTTTTCAAAGCTTTCTCCTATATTCTCGAATATTCTATTTCCCAAATCTACATGATTTATTTCGCTATAATTCCTTTCTTCTTCTATTATTTTCCATATATTTGGTACTGCTGGTTTACTCAAGCTTAATAAATAAAAGTCGACCATTATTAAGAGAGTATGCTGCAAATCTTCCATTTTTTGAATCGATTACATTATTTATTTCTGCCCATTTTTTAATATTCATCCATATATATTTTAATTTTGGCTCTATTTCTGTTAACATTCTTATGTGAAGACTATTTATTACCCCAGTTTCGTTCTCTATTGTTATTTGGATTGTTATTCTATTACTTTCTTTATCTATCTGCATTTCTAATAAAGGGATTTTTGCCTGTATTATTAAATTTTCTTTATGAACTTTATCTGCCCCATACTTTATTTTAAGCTCTTTTGCAATTTTCTTTAATAATATTCCTATATTCTTTATATCTGATTCATACACTGCGATGTCTATATCTGACTTTTGAGTACATAAATTACTAAGTGTACTCCCAAATAACTGTATCTTTATATCTATTCTTTCTTCCAAAAACTTTTTAATTTCATAGTATTCTTTTTCTAGTATAATTTGCCAATTTTCATCTGATATTTCCTTTGCGTTTTTCTCTATTAGTTTATTTAACATTATCTCTTTATCTATTATCCTTATTTCTTCTAAAAAATTTTCTGGCAGACAATATTTTTCTTTTATTTGATAATTTTTTTCCAAACCTTTTGATGTGTTGCTGGTACTTTGACTATATCTTTCCTCATCCAAACTTCCTTTACTTGAGCCTGCTCTATTATATTTTATTTCCCTATTTCTCCCTTCTTTATTATTTTCTTCTTTTTTCTCCCAAAAATTTTTATTCGATTCTTTACCTTCCTCCCAATAATTCTTCTTTGTATTTTTATTGACATATTCATAATCTCCTTTTTCATAATTTCTCCCTTTTGCTGGCACTCTATAAGTGAAAACTTCCTTTTCTCTATTACCCCATTTTTGACGCTTTTCGTTCCAATTAATATTGTTGAAATCTTCTCTATATCTTTTTGCATCCATCGACCTTTCCCTCTTTCGCGAAGGGCTTCTTCTTCTTTCTCCTCTCTCAAATTTTTGGTAGTCTTTATAAAAATTTTCTTGAATTTCTTCTTTTTCTTGGCAATTCCCCAACTCTCGCTCTATTTCCTGCTTCAAAATCAATACCTTTATGAGCCATCTCACTAATCATTTCCGGCCAATCTTCCTCTTTATCTTCAAGTGTTATAATTAGGGACAGCCAAAATATGCACGGAAAATCGCCAAATATGCGCATATATATGCACCGAAAAAGCCCAAAATATGCACTAAAATATGCAAAATTTGCTAAAATATGCACTGAAATATGCAACAAAAAATAGTTAAAATATGCTATAAAAATCAATATTTTAATTTAAAAACAATAATTTAGCCTGAATTTTACATTTTAATAGCACTCCTAAAAGATTTAATGGATTTAAAACTGTTGCAAGAATTTTTTGTGAAAAAATTTTTCCCAAAAAAATTTTCGCAAATATTTTTTCAAGAAATTTTTATAAAAAATATAAAAAATTTTATAAAAAAATTTTTGACCAAAAAATTTTAAAATTTTGGTCAATTTATAGCATAATTTTACAAAAAATGCCGAAATATGGACCAAAATATGCAAAATTAGCCAAAATATGGACAAATATGCAAATATGCACGAGAGGGCCGAAATATGCAAATATATGCATTAAGAACCGGGTCCTAAAGTGCTCGGACACATGTAAAAACACCATTTTTGGGCTTCCCACATCAAGGCATATCCGCATACAAAACATGCATTTGCATGTTTTGGCTGTCCCTAGTTATAATATTATCCCCGACTATATTCTGAAAATATCTTGAATTAGGATGTTTTAGAAACCAAAATACATCTATATTACTCAACACTGCTATTTGTTTTAATTTCTTCATTAGCTCTATTAATCCCTCTTCATAGTCTTTATTCAAAACAACTACTGTCTTTACTTCATTCTTTAATTGTATCTCATTTCCTATCAGGCTGCTTCTCCAAAAATTAGGTACATATACCGTTGCAGGAATTCTTTTCGCCACTAAAAAAGCCCTTAATTTTGTTGGAATATAATTAGTAATAAATAGAGTTGGATTGTGAATTTCTATTTTTTGTTGTTTATACATCTTAAAATTATTTAAATTTATTTAAATTTATTATTTAAATTTGTATGTTTATATTTTAACTTTATTACTTTATTGATACTTTATTAAATGTTTTATAATTCTATTTATATTTGTTTTATATATTATATTTCTGGTTTATATTTCTTTTATTATTATTTTTCTATATTTATATATATTTATTTATTTAATTATTTATTTTTATTCTATAATTTTATTCCTCTTCTTCAATTTCTAATGGATATATTATTTTTATTGGTCTTTCATATATCTTCTGGCCTATTTTTATTTTAACTGTTCTATCACTAATTATCTCCGTAATCAACCCTATCGGCCATAAAGATCTTGGACATTCTATATTTTCGTTTATTATTACAACTTGCCCTATTTTTGGAAATTTTCCTACCCCCTTTTTATTATTCTCATATTTTTCTCTTAGTGAAGTTAAGTATGTCTCTTTCCAATTCTTCCAAAAAATATGCGTTTTAAAAATTGATTTTTTATATGTGGCCAATAATCTATCTCTATTTTTCGTTGTAGGTGTAGGCACGAAAAATTCCTCATCTTTATTTACCTCTTCTATATCTTTCGTAGAAATTTGAACTTCATATGGTTTGTCGCTACTCGGGTTTATAATATCTATAGGTCTTAACGGTTCTAATATTTCTGATGACGATAAATATGTTAGTGGGCGTTCATTAATTATTCTTTCTATTTCTATTAATAGGGTTGCTAATTCTTCAAAAGTACATAAATTTTTTCCAACTACTCTTTTTAAATGAAACTTAATAGATTGAATTAATCTCTCAAAACTTCCTCCTCTTCAGGGACTAAGAGGGGTATTAAATTTCCACTCTATTTCCTTATTCATTGCAAAATTTTGGATTTGTTTATCATTAAATATATTTAGCCATAATTTCTTTTGTTCTAACTCTTCAGAGCAAATTTGTTGAATTACTTTATTGGCCAAGACAAATGTTTTACCATTATCTGATAATATTAATTTTGGTGTCCTCCTTCTTCTTATAAATCGTCTAAACGCTAAAAGAAATTTTTCAGACGTACAATCCGTCACTATTTCAATATGTATTCCTCTCGACAATAAACAAGTGAATATAGCTCCCCAAACTTTATTAAAATCTTTACTCTTTATTAAAATTGGTCCGAAATAATCTAATCCTACGTTCATGAATGCAGTGTCTCCTTTAACTCTAAAAATTGGTAAATCTGGTGCTTTTGGATAGTCAAATTTTTTACACGTAAATCTTGCACAAATGCCGCATTTTGTCTTCCGATTATGAAATCCAAGGTGTAGAAAATTAATAAGGAACGTAATATTTCATAATCGGAAGACAAAATGCGGCATTTGTGCAAGATTTACGTGTAAAAAATTTGACTATCCAAAAGCACCAGATTTACCAATTTTTAGAGTTAAAGGAGACACTGCATTCATGAACGTAGGATTAGATTATTTCGGACCAATTTTAATAAAGAGTAAAGATTTTAATAAAGTTTGGGGAGCTATATTCACTTGTTTATTGTCGAGAGGAATACATATTGAAATAGTGACGGATTGTACGTCTGAAAAATTTCTTTTAGCGTTTAGACGATTTATAAGAAGAAGGAGGACACCAAAATTAATATTATCAGATAATGGTAAAACATTTGTCTTGGCCAATAAAGTAATTCAACAAATTTGCTCTGAAGAGTTAGAACAAAAGAAATTATGGCTAAATATATTTAATGATAAACAAATCCAAAATTTTGCAATGAATAAGGAAATAGAGTGGAAATTTAATACCCCTCTTAGTCCCTGAAGAGGAGGAAGTTTTGAGAGATTAATTCAATCTATTAAGTTTCATTTAAAAAGAGTAGTTGGAAAAAATTTATGTACTTTTGAAGAATTAGCAACCCTATTAATAGAAATAGAAAGAATAATTAATGAACGCCCACTAACATATTTATCGTCATCAGAAATATTAGAACCGTTAAGACCTATAGATATTATAAACCCGAGTAGCGACAAACCATATGAAGTTCAAATTTCTACGAAAGATATAGAAGAGGTAAATAAAGATGAGGAATTTTTCGTGCCTACACCTACAACGAAAAATAGAGATAGATTATTGGCCACATATAAAAAATCAATTTTTAAAACGCATATTTTTTGGAAGAATTGGAAAGAGACATACTTAACTTCACTAAGAGAAAAATATGAGAATAATAAAAAGGGGGTAGGAAAATTTCCAAAAATAGGGCAAGTTGTAATAATAAACGAAAATATAGAATGTCCAAGATCTTTATGGCCGATAGGGTTGATTACGGAGATAATTAGTGATAGAACAGTTAAAATAAAAATAGGCCAGAAGATATATGAAAGACCAATAAAAATAATATATCCATTAGAAATTGAAGAAGAGGAATAAAATTATAGAATAAAAATAAATAATTAAATAAATAAATATATATAAATATAGAAAAATAATAATAAAAGAAATATAAACCAGAAATATAATATATAAAACAAATATAAATAGAATTATAAAACATTTAATAAAGTATCAATAAAGTAATAAAGTTAAAATATAAACATACAAATTTAAATAATAAATTTAAATAAATTTAAATAATTTTAAGATGTATAAACAACAAAAAATAGAAATTCACAATCCAACTCTATTTATTACTAATTATATTCCAACAAAATTAAGGGCTTTTTTAGTGGCGAAAAGAATTCCTGCAACGGTATATGTACCTAATTTTTGGAGAAGCAGCCTGATAGGAAATGAGATACAATTAAAGAATGAAGTAAAGACAGTAGTTGTTTTGAATAAAGACTATGAAGAGGGATTAATAGAGCTAATGAAGAAATTAAAACAAATAGCAGTGTTGAGTAATATAGATGTATTTTGGTTTCTAAAACATCCTAATTCAAGATATTTTCAGAATATAGTCGGGGATAATATTATAACTAGGGACAGCCAAAACATGCAAATGCATGTTTTGTATGCGGATATGCCTTGATGTGGGAAGCCCAAAAATGGTGTTTTTACATGTGTCCGAGCACTTTAGGACCCGGTTCTTAATGCATATATTTGCATATTTCGGCCCTCTCGTGCATATTTGCATATTTGTCCATATTTTGGCTAATTTTGCATATTTTGGTCCATATTTCGGCATTTTTTGTAAAATTATGCTATAAATTGACCAAAATTTTAAAATTTTTTGGTCAAAAATTTTTTTATAAAATTTTTTATATTTTTTATAAAAATTTCTTGAAAAAATATTTGCGAAAATTTTTTTGGGAAAAATTTTTTCACAAAAAATTCTTGCAACAGTTTTAAATCCATTAAATCTTTTAGGAGTGCTATTAAAATGTAAAATTCAGGCTAAATTATTGTTTTTAAATTAAAATATTGATTTTTATAGCATATTTTAACTATTTTTTGTTGCATATTTCAGTGCATATTTTAGCAAATTTTGCATATTTTAGTGCATATTTTGGGCTTTTTCGGTGCATATATATGCGCATATTTGGCGATTTTCCGTGCATATTTTGGCTGTCCCTAATTATAACACTTGAAGATAAAGAGGAAGATTGGCCGGAAATGATTAGTGAGATGGCTCATAAAGGTATTGATTTTGAAGCAGGAAATAGAGCGAGAGTTGGGGAATTGCCAAGAAAAAGAAGAAATTCAAGAAAATTTTTATAAAGACTACCAAAAATTTGAGAGAGGAGAAAGAAGAAGAAGCCCTTCGCGAAAGAGGGAAAGGTCGATGGATGCAAAAAGATATAGAGAAGATTTCAACAATATTAATTGGAACGAAAAGCGTCAAAAATGGGGTAATAGAGAAAAGGAAGTTTTCACTTATAGAGTGCCAGCAAAAGGGAGAAATTATGAAAAAGGAGATTATGAATATGTCAATAAAAATACAAAGAAGAATTATTGGGAGGAAGGTAAAGAATCGAATAAAAATTTTTGGGAGAAAAAAGAAGAAAATAATAAAGAAGGGAGAAATAGGGAAATAAAATATAATAGAGCAGGCTCAAGTAAAGGAAGTTTGGATGAGGAAAGATATAGTCAAAGTACCAGCAACACATCAAAAGGTTTGGAAAAAAATTATCAAATAAAAGAAAAATATTGTCTGCCAGAAAATTTTTTAGAAGAAATAAGGATAATAGATAAAGAGATAATGTTAAATAAACTAATAGAGAAAAACGCAAAGGAAATATCAGATGAAAATTGGCAAATTATACTAGAAAAAGAATACTATGAAATTAAAAAGTTTTTGGAAGAAAGAATAGATATAAAGATACAGTTATTTGGGAGTACACTTAGTAATTTATGTACTCAAAAGTCAGATATAGACATCGCAGTGTATGAATCAGATATAAAGAATATAGGAATATTATTAAAGAAAATTGCAAAAGAGCTTAAAATAAAGTATGGGGCAGATAAAGTTCATAAAGAAAATTTAATAATACAGGCAAAAATCCCTTTATTAGAAATGCAGATAGATAAAGAAAGTAATAGAATAACAATCCAAATAACAATAGAGAACGAAACTGGGGTAATAAATAGTCTTCACATAAGAATGTTAACAGAAATAGAGCCAAAATTAAAATATATATGGATGAATATTAAAAAATGGGCAGAAATAAATAATGTAATCGATTCAAAAAATGGAAGATTTGCAGCATACTCTCTTAATAATGGTCGACTTTTATTTATTAAGCTTGAGTAAACCAGCAGTACCAAATATATGGAAAATAATAGAAGAAGAAAGGAATTATAGCGAAATAAATCATGTAGATTTGGGAAATAGAATATTCGAGAATATAGGAGAAAGCTTTGAAAACACAGAATACGGAACAGCAAGACTTTTCGCAGGATTTTTTAAATTTATGGTTGATATAGATTTTGATAAATACAGTATTAGTAATACAGAAGAAAATTGGCTGAAATATAAAAATACAGAAAAATATCCGGTTGTAATAGAAAATCCATTTAACACTCAACAGAATTCTGCAAGAAGTGTTAAAAAGGAAAATTGGGAAAATATTAAAGAAAAATTTACAATAGCGAATAATAAAATAATATAGGGTATTAATAGAGAATTGTTTCACGAATTAATAGGGAATAGAGAAATTTGCGAAAAATTAAGTGAATTAGATTTGCAAAAAGAAGAGGAAATATTAAAGGAAGATGAAAATGAAGAAAAGATTGAGAATATTGATTTGGAGAAAGCTGAAAAGGAATTATTTAAAGAAAATGAGGAAGATTTAGAGGAAAAGAAGACAAAGGAAGAAAAGAGCCAAAATAAATGTAAGAAAAATAAAGCTTGGGTAAATAAAGGAAAAACTTATAAATTAGGGACCACTCTAGGACTAATAATATTGATTAATATTCTCACATTAATGAACAGTGCTATTGCAATAAGACCTATGATCTGTCACCACTTAAAAAAGAGTAATTTAATAAAGTTTAAAATAGATAACTCAGAATGTAAGCAAGTTATTAAGCTTCTGAATAAGAATGTGTTAAGTGGGAGTATGGATATTTTTAAACCAAATACAATAGAGTTCAGTTTTTATGGATTGAAATGCGTCGCAATAAAACAAGCAGTCGACTATAGAACAGATTTTCTAGGATACTCACACCAAAAAGCACTGGAACAAAAAATAATAAAAATAACGCCGGAAGAATGCAAAAATTGGATAAACTTTAAAAAATGTGAATACGGGGAAATAACAAAGGGTAGTGATAAAGAATTACATACGGGTAATAGTTTAAATCTAGAATATTCCTGGTGGAAAATAGGATGGCAAAAAGCAATGGTAGTTAACTGTTTCATTACTCAAAGCCTTCTAATAGGCCAACCTGGTAAAATTACAATAGATTCACCAACAGAGGAAGTGAAACATTGTGAATTCATGGAAGAAGAATGTAACCTAAAAGATGGAGCCGCAATAAATTGGGAGAAAAACAATGATATTAGTGAAATTTTCGATAAAAGAATGTGTAAATATCAGAAAATAGGGCACTTTTCAGGAAATTATTCAAACGGAATTTGGTATTCAATAGACATGCAAAGATCATTAATATTCGAAGAAAATGCAGAAAAGATAGTAAGAATAAGTAATACAGGATTTGCTATTAGAGAATACGATTTTAAAAAGATTATTGACCAGAAAAATAAAAATAGAGTGAAAAGATATTTAGATAGGGACCCAGGTGTGAAATTAAGCGAACTATTATCTAGATTACAAGCTGAAGCAGTTTTTCAGGACAAACAAAATCGGATAGCGCTAGAAAATATAATTAACATACTCTGCGAAACAATAGAAAGCAACCAATATACTACATGGCTATCACATTTAGAAGCAACCAAATTTATTAGAGAAAAGCATAATAATGATTATTTAGAGGCTAACTGGGTAGACAAAAATATTATAGAATTCTGGGAATGTACACCAACCAATTATACCATCACACCGTCTGTCGATGGCGCGTGTTTTAAAGATATACCAGCGAATATTAGCATGAAAAATGGAGTAATAAAAGGATTTATAGACCCACAGAATTTAATAATAAGAAGTTTTAGTGACAGAGGTCCTTGTGACAAATTTAGATATATTACAACCAAAATTGACGAAAAATTTTTAAAAATAGACCAGTGGAGTGGAGATATAGCTGAAATAAAGTCAAAAGACATAATTGAAGAAAAAATAGCAAATAAAAAGATATTCAGAGTCCCAAATTTAGCGGTTCATATTTTTGTTAAAGATAGTTTAAACAATATATCAGAAAATCAGCTTGACATTTTACAATTGATGCACAGTAGTTTAGGACATAGGGGAATAGACAATAGACCGATAGAGCAACAAGGAGCATGGATTAATCCACCTACTAACAACTGGTCAATAAGTGGAATTTTAATAAAATTAGATTATTGGGAATACTTAGAAAGAATAATGGTTATAATAAATATAGTGTATTGGATTCTAAAATTATGGGAATGGAAAAATAAGCAGATATTGAGACGAATCACCCGAAAAGATCAAAATCTAAAAATGGGGAGTGTTGTGGATTGTACCAAAAATAATTTAATTAAGGTTCTGCCCGTCAAGGAAATACAGGTGCCTGTCATGGACATGGAAGAAAAGCCGGAAGAGATTGAACTTGAGAGAAGAAGCACGAGAAAGAAGAAGAGATGGTATTGAGATCTTATCGGCCAATCTGTTACATTAATAATTTTAATATATAATGCTTTATGTTTTTCCCAGCTTTTAACTTTTACACTTCCATATACATATTTTTTAAATAAAATAAAATTTTTCTTCTTTTAAAATAAATAAAATTATTTTATAATAAGAATTAATAATAGAGTAAGGTAGAGGTTTAAATCGCCAAGTCCACGGCCCTTTTAAATCTTTAAATTATAAAGACTAATTTGGTGATATTTAGGCGAATTGTTCATCTTTCAATAACAACCATAAAAATTTCCTTGAACAGCCTAACGATTCTTCACCACATTTAAACGCCTAAACGTCTTTGATGTTGATTTACTAATTTGTGTGAAAAAATATATGAAAAATTATGTTTAGGAGACTGGATCTTCAATACATCGTTTATTTGTGAAGTAAAAATTTCTTCTAGCAAGGGAACATCGTTTACTTTCAGTGCGAATTTGATATATTTTTTGTTAACATTCGATAGAGACCCTAAGATGTATAGAAATAACTCAGTCCCTCTATCTAAAAATGTGTATATGGTAGAAAATGCTATACAGTCGAGACATGCTATTCTCAAATATCTCGTCAATTTAAATCTAGGGAATGAAAACAAGAAAATCTTTTTGATGAAGTATTTACAAAATTAATATTGTAGGCCTGTAAAAACTCTAATTTACATACATATTTCCCGGAAAAAAATCGTCGAAAATCGTGGACAAAAATCGGTGTTTGAAGAAACTATGTTCCTAAGAAATGCTGGATATTTGGCATTTGTTGGCTCCGGGCTTTTAAAACCTTATCCCGGTCCGCCGGAGCCAGCTCCAGAAGCGGCTCCGGAGCTAGCTGCCGGAGCCATCCCATTTTGTAATTGGGTATTAAATTACCTAATATACTTTTTAATTTTTGAATTAATAAAAATAATTTTGTGTCCAAAAGTCAATTCTGAGGACCAAGTTTCGACTGTATTTTTTTCGTATTTCATAAAATGATTGAATATATTTTTTTATAAAATATTGTCCTAAATTTAGGCATGTTCTCCTTTAAAAATCAAAATAAATTTATTTATCATCCACTCATAGAAACATCCATCTGTTGATTGTCAAGTATTCCATTACTATTATTTTCTTTGTTTTTAGTATTTTTGTTTTCTTGTTCATCAACCTCATTTTGTTGATCGTTGTTTATATCATTATAATGTTCTCCATTGATAACAACAGTTGGGGTTGCTGTCGTTAATTCATTTGTTGTAGTTGTTATTTTTTGCACACTTACTGTTGAACCGTCTTAATAATAAATTAAATATTGTCAAACATTTTTAAGGGTTTTTTCTTGAAAGTAATTATGCTTCAGGAACTTTCATAATTTTTGTTACTTTAATATTATGATTAGGGTTGCCGGTCCGGTCCGAAAGATCGAGCCGGGCAACGGATGTTGGCCTGAAAAAGACTCGATGCCCGACGCGATAAAAATGAGGCCCGTAAAAATGACTCGAACGTCGTCCGATTCGAAAACGGCAACCCTAATTATAATACTTCCAGAAAACAATGTTTCGTATTTTTTTCTGAAGACAATAGTTATTTTGCAGAAAACACAAAATATTTTCCCTTCCTGAAAATATTCCGGAAGAGTTGTTGTTTCTGCAAATTTAGTGTTGTATTATCCGTAAATTTATTTTATTGAGGTCTACCCAAGTTATTATTTTCAAACCAACATCATTATTTCTTTCGTAAGCTTCTGTTTCAACAACACTTTTATACTTCATCAGATTCATCCCCATTTTGTTGCAAGCTTGTTTCTTCAATTTTTGTAGTTTTAGTACCCCCATTAGGTAATTGTTCTTGTTCCTCAATAATTATTGTTTCCGGTTTTTCCTCTTTAACAATAATTTGTTCTAAATGTTTTTCTTTATTTCGCTTCCTCCTTTAATTCTGAAACTTACGGAGAATTATTTTTTCCGGAAAATACTTTTACCGTAATTATTTTATTTTTTCCCTCTTCTTACACGCTCATTCAAGGGCGATTGAAATAAATTAAAAGATTTCTTTCGATTTTTCTTTTAATTTTACTTTTAAACTCGTACCTACTTTTTTGTTTTCGTACTCATACTTCGTACCAGTATGTTATTTTGATCGTACTCGTATTTCGTACCAAGGTACGAGTGGGAATTTTAGTACGGCTTATGAACACTAGACACAACTTATAATTTTGTTTTAACAATTAAATTTCTATTTTACTATCTTTATTTGTTATTATTTCAAATTAGAAACTTTCCTGGCCTTAAATAGATTTATCACCTTTTTTCTTTTCCCAATCTCAGCTAATACAAAACTCAGTCATTACTTAAAGAAACAATGAACATTAACTGCGAAAATAAAGTTTCATTAGTACATATTTAATTTTTCCATTAGAATTGCTTCAACTTAATTTAGCTTATATGTACATATTTCATTGTCAAAAAATCAAAAGAAATTTATTAAAGCAAAGAAAACAAATTTTGTTTAAAGAATTTATAAAATTCTATTCATCCTCTTCCATTAATTCTTCGGATAATTTCAGATCAACTGTGCTTGCTTCTTTAATTTCAGGAAAGAATTCCTCGACTTCACGCCTTTTGTTGGCGGATATTGTAAGTGCAGTGAATGAATTTTGTTCATCTAAGAGATTTTTGATAGGAGTTGCGCCATTTATACGTACATCCTTTTTATTTGCATACCATACTTTTGTGTAAATATCTCTTAGATTTTAAAATTATTTTTTAAAAAGATACAAGTAATACTTAGTAAATCCATTATTCAGTTTGCGAAGAGAGGCTAGAATAGCATAATCAATTGTTGACTTTATAGAGCTTCGATCTTTAATGAGATCAAAAATTAAACTTCTTTTAGCTGATTCAAAATAACATTCATCAAACTCTTCCTCAAGAACAGTACGCTTAATTAAAGAAAAATTATCAACATAATTTTAGTAAATTTTAGTGGAAAAATTTTGAAAAAACAATTAGTATTAACTATCAGGATCTGCAATTGTAAAGAAAGGAAGGACTGCTAAGTTGACATTGAACTTCTTCTTCATTTATATTTTTACTTTAAGCATTAATTAATAAAAATCGCATATTTATTATCATAAACTTCGGCGGTCACTATAATACGTGGGACTCGAGACCTTGATTTGAAATATACAGGGTGACCCAAATTGCAGTTTATCTAGTTCATAGCTATATTCGAATTTGAGATAATGCAATCAAATAAAGATTATATTATAGAGAATTTAAATGGAATAAATATAATATAGGTACTTGAAATTTGACCATGTTCACGTTATGGTGTGTGCTTACTGATCGAGTTCTGCTACTTTTTTAGACAAAAATCATTCCTACTTAACTAAACAAGTTAACGAAAAAATTTTCCCAAAAAATTTCATACCGGAATTTTCTAAAGATTCCTGGACATTGGGTGAGTTGAAATTTGCTGAACATTGAATATTATGGCAAAAGGTTCTATAATAGAGTCTAGATAATAGGTCTTGAAAGAGTATGAATAGGCTACAAAATGAGCAATAAAATATTCAAAAATGTAAAGGAAAAAAGTAAGATATGTACAGTTACTCAATGAAGTGTGCAGTTACTATATACCTATCGATACGACTCGTGCTGAGTTCGAATACGCAAAAATTCCATCCGTAGGCTAAAACTAAAAAATACAGGCACCTGAAAATTGAAAAACCATAAGGGGGCCAAGCAGATTTTTGTGGTGAAAAAGTGAATATGCAAATTAGAATATTGAAAGAGCTCGTCGAGCTGAGTCGAATGCTATAAAATCTCTGTAATTAAACAAGTTTGGGCTGAGATATAAGGCTTGGAATGGTCAAAAACCAGTGATCTGTGGTAGGTTCAAAATTTCAAATGTACAAATTATATTCCATTAGAAAGAGCTTGTAAATATGAGTCGAATGACACCAAAATCAGCTTGATTTGCTAGAAAGTTACGTCTTTTTGTGCTAATACGGAGAATAGACTGAACATGCACGGATACATGCACGGATACCTTATATGATGGGTTATAGCAAATTGTCATAACTTTATCAAATCAAGTCAAACTTTGTTGATTTTGGTGACATTCGAATCAGCTCGATAGCAGCTCTCGAATGACTATAATTTGCATACTCAAATTTTTCACCCGAAAAACCAGCTTGCTCCCCTCTATGGTTTTTCAATACTTAGAGGCCTGTATCTCTGCGAGTTTTCGTCCCCGGCAAAAGATTCTTACATATTTGAACCCAGTTCGTCGAGACGAATTAATTAGTCTATATATCGAATCTTGGTCTCGGGTCCCATGTCTATAGTTCAGCCAGTGTTGAATCTCTCGGTGTACTTCAAAAAGTCCCACTGTTAAGAAATATATCAACATTCTTTACAAGTGCAGAAATTTAAATAAAAAAGCTAACCACAACTTCACTTAAACGATTGAATGCTTGTTCTAAATTTGAACATTTATTTAAATTCATAATAATTGATTTTTGGTCGGGTACGACATTAATTGTCGATGTGTAGCAAAGGCCTCTCCCACGCAAATTATTCCATAATGGGCCTCCTGCTTGACTAAGATATTTTGAGAGGAGTAAGGTTTCCATTGTTGTATCACCATTCCAGTCATCTCGAAATTTGGCCTTTTTGGTAAGAAAGATATTTTCTGCTCCACCAATAAATGCCATTTGAACATCACCTAATTGCCAACTTTGTCCATAATTAGCATCACACTAAGAATTTTTAGTAAAATGAATTTAAATTTATAGTTTTCTAATGCAGGAAATACAAGATATGTACATCCCGATACTAACAACAAAGTACTTTAAAATCTGAGAATACAACAAAATTTTCATAGGTGAATAATTACTTAAACTTTTCATGAGACGCATACCCTTGGTACAATTAACAAAAAATTTTTACTTTGTTTTTTTTACCCTCTAAATTTTTTACCCTCTAGTCCCAAAATTAATCCTTCCTTTTTACTCATTTATTTTAAATCAAAAAAGGGATTCCATTAAATATCAATAAAATTGATATATGTATAAAGTTTACAAATAAGGCTGGAATAATTAGACTAAAATTGCAATATGTACTAAAGAAGTAAGCAGGTATTATTAGGGTGCAAAAGGTGATCATGACTAAAACTTAAAACAGTATATCTCGAGAAAAATTTGTTTAAATTACAAGGATTATTTTTATTAATATTAAGTGAAAAGTTCTCTTTCTAATAAGCTATAGTTTTAAAAATAACCTCTAGTGCTTATTAGAATTTTCCCAAACTGTTTCAATATTCCTCGGTGCAAAAGTTTAACTACATTTTACAAAAATTGAATTTTTAGAAAAATAACTGGCAGAAAAAATACAAAAAAATTCAGTGGATATTTCCATTTATATTGACTGAAAAATTAAAAAGAACTAAGTCTGTGATTACTTTCTTCATTGAAATCTCAAATTTCCAAAATCAACGGGAAATGGAGTTAACATACTTCAAAAATCATTTTAACTCCCTAGGGCTATATAAAAACTTTCTTCTGGGATGATTTGAAAGCCATAAAATTTACTATAAAATATCCCAGGCTTAAATTTTCCAATAAAACCATAAAGTACTTTAAAATCCGAGAATACAACAAAATTATAAAGTGTAGACAAAAAATTTATGGAGATAATGGTCGAGGAATTTAGTAGCTTATCATTTTTAGGCAAGACCTCCCAAAATACCTCATAAAATGCTCATTTTCATTCATTTATAATTTAACAGTAATTTGTTACCTTAACTATTGTACAGATTTTTTTACATAAATTAGACAAATTGTATTTTATAGTAAATTTTATGGGTTTTCAAATCAGCCTAAAAGTATGTTTTATATAAGCCCTAAGGGGTTGAAATAATTTTTGAAGTATGTTAACTCCATTTCCCGTTGATTTTGGAAATTTGAGATTTCAATGAAGAAAGTAATCACAGACTTAGTTCTTTTTAATTTTTCAGTCAATATAAATGGAAATATCCACTGAATTTTTTTGTATTTTTTCTGCCAGTTATTTTTCTAAAAATTCAATTTTTGTAAAATGTAGTTAAACTTTTGCACCGAGGAATATTGAAACAGTTTGGGAAAATTCTAATAAGCACTAGAGGTTATTTTTAAAACTATAGCTTATTAGAAAGAGAACTTTTCACTTAATATTAATAAAAATAATCCTTGTAATTTAAACAAATTTTTCTCGAGATATACTGCTTTAAAGAAATATAAAGGCAGTGTAGATGAACTTTTGCCATTTGTGTGTGAATAAGAATATCAAAATTTAGGTAAAACTTTAAAAATGTTTTGTTTCAAAAATCTTATTAAATTACAATGCTGCCATGCCTTTAGAAAAATCTTATTTTAATTTCAAAAGCTTTCATTATTTATCTCAATCGCGATGGGTGTGGTTAAAAATATCATATTTCTATTATATTACTTATTTCTAATTTTTCTCTATCAAATTAATTTTCATTGACAGGTAAAGGAATCGCCAAATTTCAAAAAATATAAAATGATTGACAATAAATCAAAAGGGAACAGGAAAAGGAAGAATTAATTTTGGGTCTCTTTCACTTCTAAAATTATTGGCTCAAATTTAAAACTATTTTAAATTATTACTTGATGTTGAGTTTGGGGAAATAGTTCACTTTTCAAAAATTCCCATTCGTCTCCACGGATTGAATCAAGTGGAACATTTTTCTTAATTCCAACTAAGTGTAGATTGACTAATGATTGTAAAATATAATTATGCAGTTTGTTTAATTGGTTTGTAACAACTATTTTGTCTGCTTTAAGGGAGGTTTCTACGGCTTTGTGAAATTCAAAGCTTGCAAATTTGTTTATCATGTATTCGTTTGAACCTAAAATTATAAAGGTAATTTTTAAACAAAAATTGGTAATTTCAAACTTAACCCCCCCCCCCCCCAGGTAATATTCAATTTCGTTCCCCCCTCCTTTTTTATCCTCAAAGTATTAAAAAATGGTCAGTCAATCTTAATTTATAGAACTCGTCGAGCTGTGTCAACTGACACTAAAATCAAAAAAACGGACTTGATTTGACCGAGATACAGACCCCTGAAAATAGAACAACCATAGGGGTGAAAAACCATAAGGACGAAAATTAATCCAAATGATAGCTCAACGAAAGAGCTCGTCGAGCTATTCGAATGACACTAAAATAAACGTGACTAGACAAGATTTGACAAAGTTATGACAAGTCGCCGACTCCGTTAGGTCTACTTCATGTCATAACTTGTTGTACCATGTCTAATCGCGTTAATGTTAGTGTCATTTGACTCAGCTCGACAAACTCTTTCGAATGAGCTATTATTTGGATAAAAATTTTTTTATTCCAAAAAATCACCCCTATGGTTGTTCAATTTTCAGGGTCTGTATCTCAATCAAATCAAGTCCGATTTTTTTGATTTAGTGTCATTCGACAAATCTCGACGAGTTTTATAACTTAGGATTACTGACCATTTTTTAATACTTTGAAGAATGAAAAAAGAGGGGGGAACGAAATTGAATATTACCCCCCCCCCCATTCTTTCTTCCTTAAGAATGTAAATAATGGTCAAATTTCCCCTTCCTCAATTTTCACTTTTACGAAGCAAAAAATAGGGGGGGGGCAAATTTGAAATTAATCAAAAATTACTAACTCATATCATATGTCAAAAAATTTGTAAGTAAATCCATTGAAGAATTCCCATCAAAATTATATTCAGCTGCTTCATTTATAAGAATTTGTGAGCATATAAGTAGGTCGGCAGAATCAAATTTAATTTGTTTAAGATAGACTTTCGTCCATTTGACAAGTTTGTGATATTCTTCGCTGCTTAATTTAAGCGTGACAAAACGTTTGTAATAATTAGAAATTCCGAATGAAATTGATTTATGAAACAAATCACATTTTGATTTGTCTGCTACTTCTTCAACAGTTAAGTCGACATTATCAATAGTTGCACATGACATAAAAATAGCCTCGGACCATAAATGAAGATATTTTCGAAGAGAAGCCGGAATTTTTTGTGTGTCAAACAAGATATGTGCCTTTGAAATATTAAAAAAAATCAAAAAATTGGGTATGAAATCAAATAACTCTTTCAGTTCTTAAACCGTATTATTGTCGTTTACCCTTCTCGATAGACCAAAATCATTTGTAAATATATCGGTACAAAAATGATAGCTCCTTGGAGATTAAATTTAAAGACTGATTTTTGATTAATCAAAAAGAAATTAAATTCTTGATTAAATTTAAAAAAAATAACCATTGCTTATCTCATTTAGCAGTCCATAACTTCTCAAAATTTATCGGATTTTGGTATATTATCGACTCAGGCTGAGCTAACAACCTTTATCATAAATAAATTTAGGTACTTGTTGGTTATACGCCCACAAACTGAGTGCTAGCCAAACCAAGTTGGAGAATCCGATCTAATCACTCGTTGAAAAGTTATAACCGATAAATGTGAAAAACAACAAATAAACTGGACTTGTTGTGTTATAATTTTTAAAATGATTGATCAGACATGATCTATTATGTAGAACAAAGGTACCGCTTATCAAGGGCTTTCGAAAGATGATTTTTTTAATCGGATCAAACATCAGAAAGTTAACGCCAATTAAATTTGACTGGCGCTCAGTTGAGGGCGTATAACCGATAAATACCTAGATTTAGAACATAGTACGGGACATGAGGTTAACGACAATAGTACTCAACTGGAAATAGACATATGGAGATTAGGTAAAAATTACCTCATAGAATTCACTCGTTATTTCATGCCAAGTTGTATGAATCGGCCAGCCTTTAAGAACATCAGAACAAACAGGAATGAGACGGAAATTTCCGAGATCTTGAGGTATAAATTGTCTAATAACTTCATATGTTGGTTTATTTTCCTGGAATAAATAAATTTAATGCTATTTTTTGACTCTCGATCTTCGGGCATTCTATTAATGTTTTTGATCTTAATTAACATTTTAGATCACTATTCATTCACAAAAATCGTAGTAAAAGTTAAGACCCTTCGTCCCGATAAAGAGCGGAAATCTAGATTAAAAATTGTTTTTGTATAAAATAATTTTAACTGAATAAACAAACAAGCTTGGTTTGAAAATTATTTTGAATTTTAATAATTTTTATTTCGGCTCTTTTTCAGGTAAACATAAATTATGTTTAGAACAATAATAGAATTACCTCATTTTCTATGATTGATTGACTCAAAATCTCTCCGTTAGCAGAAAGTCCCTCCTCGCCCAATTGATCCTTTCGCACACTTTTTCTTTCCTCTTCCTTAAAATTATTTAATTGTTAAAATAATCTCAAAATACATATGTATTTTCTTAAATTTCCCAGGTCCAAGGTCATAATTTCCCTACCGTAAATGCTCGAATAATTACCCTCTTTAATAATTACCCTTCCCTTTCCTTCTTTAGTTTCAAAAATATTGAATAAATCATTTTCAATTTTAATTATTAAAACATTATAAGAATCAATATCAAAAAAAATATATGGATTTCCTCTTCGATTTATTGAGATATACCCCAAATTTAGCCCATCCTCTCGATTAATTACCCCAACCAGCGAGAGGTCAAAACAATAAATACCCAGGGTAATTATTCGAGCATATACGGTAAGTAATGATTTCGATAAATTTTCCCAGGACTCAAAACATTATTGCCCTAAGGCTCGAGAATAAGGTCTAATTTACTCTTGCTGGGGGTGCTACAAGTTTTTAACAATTTATATTAAAACAAATTATACCTCTTTTAACAATTCACCAAACATTTTACTACTTGGATTGCCAATAACGCAAATGCATGTTGAATTGAATGTCTCACAGAACAAACCTAACCAGTAAACGTCTTTTTTTTCTTTTAAAATTTGAAGAATTTTCAACTAAAATAATGTGTAATAGAATTAAATCAGTAATCGGGAAAATGTCTAATTAAATCAGCATAGATGTTCGAGAGTGACCCACATGTTCTAAGACCAGGGCTGAGCGATTTCGCATTTTTAATTTTCGCATTTTTCACATTTTCCAACGCGAAGTTTCGCATTCCGCATTTAGGTCCAAATGCGAAATTTGTTTCGCCTTCTCATTTGGTATTTTTTATTTTTTAGTTATTTTGACGTTAAATTTTTTAAAGGAAAAGGGAAGAAATATTTATAATTTATCCCAAAATTACTTTTGTTGATCTATGGTGGAGTGGTTATGTTGACTGACTTCGCTCACTTTTGTTTTTTGGGGCTGTGTTCGAATCCAGACATGGGAAAAATCTTAAACAATTTTTCCTTCCAAAAATAAATGTTTTTAACTTTGATTTTGATTTTAAAAGAAAGGGAAAGGGATTTGAGATTAAGAAGCATATCAGGAGATTAAGATGTGAAAAATTCGATGGAAAAGGTTAAAGTTCCATGAAAGAAGGTGAAGATGGATGAAAAGCATACTGGGTTTCGAGTAAACCTATCATCCTTGGAAGAATTATTGCTCCTTGGACTCCAAAATTCTCGAAATTTTCACCTGCGGCGCAAAAATGGAAATAGAGTACGAGCAATTTCACCTAAATAGAGTTGAGCGGTATCGGAATCCCGACCTAAAATCGGGATCGGGATTTTGGAATAGCGACCCCGATCCCGGTGCGACTACGGTGCATGATTGATCGAAATCGGGATCAGGATTTGGAATAACGACCCCGATCCTGCAATGCCTCGAACCTGCAATTCCCCCTATGGGTTTTCAATATTCGGGGACAAATATCTCGGTTGACAGGCAGTTCCGTGAATAGAGAGTGGGGTACTATGCGTTTATATCCCCCCAAGTCCGCAAAAGTTGTCCGCACTTTTTTTCCATTCCTTTCTCCTATCATAAGGATTAGAAATGGTCAAGCGTTAATATACCCGCATTCTCTTTTTCTTCTCCTTTCTTCTTTTCTCATAAATAGGGTTGTTATTTTCGAGTTGGACCGCCGGTCGAGTCACTTGACCATTTTTGATATTTACGAGTAGGGTTGCTAAAACAGACCGACTCGGACCGAAGGATCGAGTCGGGCCTTTGGCCCGAAACACCCTCAGACATAACAATATCCGTCCAAATCAAACAATAATTTAAAAAATTTCTTTTTCTCCCGAAAAAGAAACGTACAGCCCGAACCGATAACAATGAGGCCCGAAAAAATGACTCGACCGGCGGTCCGACTCGAAAATAACAACCCTATTTATGAGAAAAGAAGAAGAGAGGAGAAGAAAAAGAGAATGCGGGTATATTAACGCTTGACCATTTCTAATCCTTAGGATAGGAGAAAGGAATGGAAAAAAAAAGTGCGGACAACTTTTGCGGACTTGGGGGGATATAAACGCATAGTACCGAGAGTGGTATCGTTCGACTCAGCTTGCCGAGACAAATCGAATGGTAAGTGTTTTTTATCAAAATTTTGCTTCAGGTATACTATATTATGTCCAAAATTTTTCTAGAATTTTTATCTAATTTCGCATTTTCGCGTTTCGCATATTTCGCATTTTTCACATTTTTTGGCGCGAAAAGTTTCGCATTCCGCTTTGCTCTTTTTATTTTTTTAGAAAAAGTTTCGCATTCCGCATTTTATTTTTTAATTACGCCCAGCCCTGCTAAGTACATATAAAATTTTATAATCATTTTACAAAAGATCACCTCATCAAGTCTTTCCTTCAAATCATTTTCTTGGTCATTTTCATCTAAAGAGCCATATAACTGATGTCCAATAACTGCATTGGAAATGAATGAATGTGGACAATCTGCCATTTCATTACGAAAATTTCTCATCTTATCATCAATCATTGAACTAATTCTTTTCATTTCAAAGGCCTCTTTTTTTGAATGATCAACAACAAATTTTTCGAAAAATCTATTTAAATGTTATAATTAAGCTTTAAAAATTTGTTGTTATAAATGATATTTCTTGAAAATTTCTGTTAACTTAAAGCCCTGGAAGTCGGTAATATTATTTTAACCAAATTAATAAGTGTAGTAAAAGCTCTCAGAAATCAATCGTTTATGTCGTACGACCCTCCAAAATCCTCTAAATTACTTTCACAATAAAAAAGTGAATTTTTGCCCACCGTACTACAAAACAATCAGAATACAGATGGACTCTCTCGATAATGAATTACAAGTGCAAATGGTAGAGCTTTCCAAGACTCTTGGTCTTACCTTTCTTGATATTTTTTGGATTTTGCCTTGGGGTGAAGGTATGTTCTTAGTCTCAACCTTTTTAAGCTTTTGAAAAATATACCTCTAAAGACAGGTGAAACAAAAGAGAAAAGCAAATGTTAGTAGGAGTTGGCAGAAATGGAAAAGAAAAGGATGACTTGAGATGGATAAAAAGGGAAGACTTAAGTCTTCCTAAAAAAAGGAAGACTAATATTTGCTTTCTAAAAATCTCTTTTTTAATGTAAAAAATGAGTGAATTGAGAAATGATAAATCTGACATCTTTGCCTTCCAAAAAATTTCTAAAAGAGGAGGAAAATTGGCTTCTTTGAATTCTCAAGTTCTTAAAATTTTCGCCTGCAGCGTTGAAAAATGTAAAGATCTGAATTCCTTGCAAAAAATTCGAATGTTATGTAGCGTTGAAAAAACAAAAATTTGGCTCTTGGCTATCAAAAAATAACGAAAATTTCGCTTGCAACGCGCAAGAGAAGAAAATTTGTAGAGGAAAAGATTTATGAATAAGGAACCTTCATCAACCCTTGAGCTTTTGTTAAGACTTATCTTGGTGTTCAGTCTTAGAAAATTTTTGGCTTGGAAAGCTCTACCAGCTTTATATCTTTATAATTTAAATTTTTAAATTTAATGTACCTTTTTTTCAATTGTTTAAGCTTATTTTGTGGCACTCCAACAAAAGTAGCAATTATTTCGCAGTCTTTCCTTTCTTTCAAGGAGATTGACAATGATTTACAATAAGGATCTTCATTTTTTATTAAATCCCATTCCAAGGCATCAGTGATATAATCAATTAAGAATTGCACGGCCCTTATCTTACTCCAATTACTACCTGCGGGCCCAATCCATAAGAGTTTAACCATTCCTTAAATTTAAATTTTTTTATAGTTTAAAATTAGGAAGTATCGTGTTTTGGGCCAGCCAATGTAGCTTATTTTCAATAAAAAATTTAGTTAAAATATTTTTAAATGCTTTTATAATGTTAAACCTAGTTTTTAAAGAAAAATTGGTACTTTATGTTTATACCCCCCTATTTTTAGTCTCTGAGTGCAAAATGGTCAGACTTCTTTCCAACCTAAATTTCACTCAATTTACTTTGGCATATTCTAATGAAAACATAATAAAAGTATATTTTTGGATGGCTGAAAACATATGAAATGACATTTCATCAATAATACATTTTTAGCTATTTAAGTTTCAACTAGAGTCAAAACCCGACCGGAACCGAGTTTTTGTGCGGCCGCAAGAGACAATTTCAAAAAACACAACTGAGCCAATGATATGAATGTTGTTGATCAACAAAAAATTTGAGTAGAGGAATATAAGGGGATTTGGCGGCAGCAATTGTTGTATAAGGAATTAGGAGAGATATCGGTGGATTTGATTTTGTTTCGTTTCGTCCGAAAAATATTTCGTTTCGTCCGGCATTTTCCAAACTTTAAACTCTAGATTGCTCTCACACACCATAGCTTCTAAAAATCAAAGGTGGGCTATAACTAGTGTGCTATAACTAGGCAGGTAACTAGAGTGTAGAGCACGTAACTAGAAGCAGGTAACTAGAGATTCACAACCACTTGATTAAATAAAATAAAAAACCTGTCCAGTATAAAATTATCTCAGATGAATAGAGTGGTAATATATTTTTTGTAGCATTTTTTATTACCTATCTATTGATTCTAGATATTTTTCAAAATCTTAAATTTCACCGAAGTTATAGACTAATCACTCCTTTATTAGTTTCTCATTAAAATATGCCAATGTAAATTGAGTGAAATTAAGGAAGGAAAGAAGTCGGACCATTTTTTACTCTGTAACTCAATAGGGGGGATGAAAACATAAAGTATCGAGAATTCAGTGAAAAATGAGAATTTTATGAATGAGATCTCATTTTTGAAAATTTAAAAAATGTCAGACCCAAACACGACAAGTAATTTTAAAACCAAACCAAATATATCATTTGTCGGACAATCAATCTCCTCAGTCTTAATAGTAATCGCTGGAGTCTGCGAATGGGATGGACGAATGAAGCCACTAGGAATTGAAGAAATATTTTGTTCCTCAACACGAGAAATTTCAGCAAGAAGTTGCTCATGTTCAATAAAGCCAGAAACCGTAATAAACTAAAAAATTATCAACGAATGGTACTTTATTAATTTCCACCCCACCTCCAAGTCTCAGATTAATTTTCCTTTTTTATTATCAATCATTATTTCCTTAAATATTACAGGTAAAAGGCAAATATTAGGAATGAGAACATAGACGGAAACCGAAAAAATCAGCCGAACTGCAGAATTTAGCATTTATAAAGAAGGAAATTTGACCATTCCAAAGTAGGAAAAATAAAAAAAATTAATCTGAGACACAAATAGAGATGATGGGCAGGATATTCATAAAGTACCCAACGGATTAAATAAAAAAGTATAAACCATATTATTAATATGATAGAACTGTTTGTGTAATGCTTTAATTTTCTCGATTGAACAATTTTCACGAATATCTTTCAAAAGGCCTCCTGTAGTTGCAAGATAACTTGAATTTTTTGAGTAAAGAATTTCTTTAATTTTTTTATTTGTAATTGCATCCATTTGCAACTCAGAATCTTGCATTTCACAATACATTACGCCAGAGTCAGTATTATTTTCATCGACGTGATAAATCTCAGTAATATATGTAGATTTCTTAATAATAAGTTATTTTTAAATAATATTGTTATAACTTTTAAAAGAGGGTTGAGAAGATGATCAAGAAGTACTGGGAGAACTTTCAAAAACCCAATATAACCACCAGTCGTTAGCGTATACTGCGTATGGTCTTGAAGTGTGGTGCCATTAACACTATCGCCGAAACCTGTGATTAAAAAATAGTTTTAATTAACATTTTATATATTTTTATACTGCCGTACCCTCACCCTATACATTCTGACATGCGTTCTATTGAGAGACATTAACACTAGCTTATACAATATCCCACCTCAACAACCCCCTCCCCCCCCCCCCCCGTTCCAGATTATTAACCACGGGGACGGCAGTAATATTATAACAATTTTCAACATACATAAGTTAGAAATTAAATCCAAATAACACTTGTGAGGAAATCTTTTGCTTCCCATAAAAACCAAATGCTCCAAAGCGTGCAATGATCCTTCGTTTGTCTCAGTTTCGGTTACTTAAATTTATGATTTTTTAGATTTATTATAAACTTTTGAGGACCCAACTTTTGATTGGTGCAAAAAATAGAAGTCTTAATTTTAAAATCAAAGAACTAGTTAAGTTTATATCACAAAATAAAAACCTTTATTTAAAAAATAATAATGCAACTTAATATTCAAATAAAATTTTTTATATCGAGATCAATGACTAGTGTTACCGTATTTCCCTGAATGTATGACCCTCTAATAGAATGACACTTATAATAGAACGACAGTTTGAAAAGGATCGGAAAATACAATCTATTTGATTGCCCCTCAAATTAAATGGCCCTCTTTATAGTCTGAGTTGTGTTTTATACCTATAAGATTTAAAAGCAAAACCAATCCGACATGTAGTGGTATAGAAAAAGCTTAGCGCTCTTTTTCGGCTAGTCAGCTAGGGAGTAATAAGTCAGCAAGCAACTAAATATATGGTGCTTGATAATAATTAACAGGAAACGAGAATCGCCCGTAATTTTGCCATGTTCTTTTAAAAAATTTTTAAATCCTATTTCCACTTAAAAATTAAGAGTTAGGTATTTCTATACCGTATATCCTGTAATAACTACCTTGGGTAATTATTGTTTCGACCTTCCGTTGGAGGGAGTAATTAATAGAGGCCGGGGTAATTTTGAGGGAGGGCAATATGCATAATCTGCCTGTATTCCTTTAATATATTCCTATATAATTCCTATACACTGAGTGATACAATACGTGTCTCGTCTTGAGATATAGGATCTGCTTCATAGTTATAAATACAAGCCTAGTTTTTAGTATTTTTTAATGGAATTTTTGTAGATTTTTCCTGATTCGGAAACTTTAAAATCCAAAGTAAATCATCTATAGTTAAAAAGCACACATTTTTCAAAAAAATTTAAATATTTTCAAAAAAAGGTTTTTGGAAAAATTTCGGTCCAAAAATTTTTCCCAAAATTTCGGACCCATAGCGTAAAAAAATCGAAAAATTTTGAATTTAGTATAATTATGAAGCAAAGCCTATAAAACCAATTAGTTTCTAAGGTGGAGATAGAAGTATGTAATTGGATGGAGATAGAAGGATTAAGGCCTAAATCGAGGAATTTTTTAAATCGGTGTAGGAAAAATAAGGGGTAATTATTCGAGGGAGGGTAATTAGTGTTTCGACCTATCGCTAGAGGGAGTAATTAACAGAGGTTGCCCTCCCTCAATTATTTGAGGGAGGGCAATTAATACAGGTTATACGGTATATTTTTGATATTTTCGATATGGTTTGACAGTATATATTAAATGGCAGACTAAAAGTAATTTTTTGAAACAACGATAAATAATTCTTGAAGTCAAAGTACAATTTTGTCAACAAACAAATACTTGGACTCATGGTCTTAAGTGACTAAATAGTTTCTTGTCTTGGGTCTTGGTCTAACTTTTTGAGGTCTCAGAATACTGTAAAACTTCTAATAGAAGCACATGTGCTTCTATTTTTCGATCCTCTCGTAGGGTGCGCTTATATTAGGGAGTGTGGTTCAATCAGAGAGTGTGCTTTTATTTTTCGTTCAATTTTTAAAGAGAATTTTTACCCCACATAATACAAAACAAAAATTAAATTTCAATTGAATTACCCTTTCAATTCCATTTTCGTTATTTTCATAAAGATTAATGAAAATAGGACAAATAGTAGGATGGTATATATCCTACGTTGGTATGAAATCTGTCAGTGAATAAATCAAAGGATTAAGGGACATATGGGATATTTTGTAGAGATTTAGAGAATTTTAAGGAAATAAGGGATAGGATGAATAAGATATCGGATAGATAATAATAAGATATCGGATAGCTTGAATAAGCACGATTGATCGAAGGAAAGAAGGATAGCCGAAAATTTTGATGCCAAGGAGTAGATTCAATTCGAGTTGCTTGTACACACGTCTATAATATTAATTTCAGAACCAGAAAAAGAACCCATTTTAAATAAGATTAAAAATATAAAGATTAATACAGGCGTCGGACCGGGTCGGCTTGATTTTCACGTAGTTCGTGTTCCAAATCGGGGGTTTTCGCGATCTCCGTATTTTTCCGGATCGGATTAATCCTAAAAATTCGGCCGGACCCGGTCCGACATGTGTGTGAAATCAAAATCTGGTTTTTGATGATTTTGCCGGGCATTTATAAAAATTAATTACTAAATTTGACGTAAGTGTAAACAATAAAATTGATACATGCCTTTTCAGTCTGTATAATAAGGCTTCTATTGGAGAGTGTGCTTCTATTAGAGAGTGTGCTTTTATTTTTCAATCCTCTCGTAGGGTGTGCCTATATTAGGGGGTGTGCTTCTATTGGAAGGTGTGCTTCTATTAGAAGTTTTACGGTATATCAATGTATACCTCAAATCAGCGCAAAAAATAGAAAATTTGAAACAATGTTATTATGAAAGGCTCATGCCAATTAGCGAATAATTCTCAGGTTGGATGGCTCCCTCAAATAGAAAACCCTTTTAAAGATAATAGAGATATGAAGTCTGGTCATTCAAATAGGGAAAATACGGCACAACTCTTACACCATAAAAATTCTTATTGCTTTTCATGTTACTAAACTATTAAATTGCAATTAGTGCTTTGGAAAAATTTAGGTATATAACACAGATGCTAAGGTGCTATCGAATGAGCTATCATTTGTATTCAATTTTTTACCCCTAATATCAGCTTTGCCTCTCTATATTTTTTTAATTTTCAGGGGCTCTGTCATAAACTGAAATTATAACAGGATATTTAAGTTTGATTTGATAATCAAACTACCCTATAATTTGATAGCCCAATATTCATAAATTACCAATAGAGATTGTGGACTTCACAAGGGGCCCAGGCCCATCAGCCACTGCAACAACAAGTTTTGATCGTTTCGACCTATAAAAGGTCACTTTAGTATTTTTGTGTATTTGAATTGTTGTAATTTTGTTAAAATTCATTGCTGTATAATAATATTTATAAAAATAATATTGCCAATATTTGCTATTAAAGAATAAAAATTAAATTTTTTAATAAAATTTTAAAGATTTTGTAGAGAAAAATCTTTAATACATTTATTCCATAAACAAATATAAAATAATTCCAAACAAGCGAAAACGGAAAAATTAAAAATAATTGACGCGAGCCATACCTAATACATAATATATATTTGAGATCAAATTTTAAAACATTTTTAAAAAATTTATTTTAGAGTTGCATATTTATCAAATTATCCCCGACCCAAACCCACCCGAAAAACGTGAAACCCCCTTTCACCGACTGAAAAATACAGCGTTTTTCAGGTTAAACATCCCATAAAATGCCATTTTTTAGGTTAATTTAATGAAAAAATTCAGAAAATTTCCTCTTAAATATTTCGTCGTTAGTATTTTCGAAAGAAAAGTGAATGAAATATCAAAATAATATTTGAATTTGTTATAGAAATGTGTGTTTGAGTGGTTAGCTACATAAGTATTAATGTAAAATTGGTTTCTATCAATGAAATTTCTCTTGATATATGTATTCCTTATTATTTTATTTCTGCTTACTTAAACAAGCAAGCCTGGATAGAATACTGGATAAAATACTTGGAATTGGATTGTTCATTATCAATACAGTTTTCCTGATTTTCTGGGATTAAAACAGGAGAACAAAGGATTATTTATTCAATCCCCTAATTCTCAAAAAAATGTAAAAAAAGAGAAGAATATTATTTTAAACTTAATTTTTTGCCGACCTAAATTAAACATTTGTCTTACAGCAACAAAAATTATAGAAAATATAATAATTCCCCCAAAATAAAACGGTATTCAACTAAAACTCAAAACCGGAAACCAGGCTTTAAAATATGCACTAATCGAAAACAAGAGGTGTCGGTTAATAACCAGTAGTGAACAACACATATTTAAGGAGCTGGGCGTTAGAGATTAGGGTTTATCCTAAATCAAACAATGACTTTTTAAAACTATGGTCATATACAGTAGTCTGTTTTATTTACAAAAATAAATTTAAATAGCGATGATGGAAAAAATTTTTTAAAAAAAAGGAAGTTTTAATTTTGGAAGAAAATTTGAGTAAGAAATTTGAAGGAGAAAATCAGATTGAAAATTTAACTGTATATGGAAAGTAAAACGTAAGGAAGACATAGAAAGATTTTCTTTAGTATACTTTAATACTCTTAATAGGGTTGTTCACGACCGGTTCCGAAAATTTTAATATTTTTTGCCAAAAATTAAACCGTTATTAAAAAATAAAAATAGAAAACTTCAAAAATAACTAATTTTTTAAAAAAATTCACCCAAAATTTCTTAAATTCCCTCAAATTTAACCCAAACTTATATCCAAAAACCGGATTTTAAAATTTGGATTAATCGAAAACCGAAGGTACCGGATAATAACCTGGAGTGAACAACACATATTAATTAATTAAGTAGCTGGGCGTTAAAGATTAGGGTTTATCCCATTCCAAAAATTTACTTTTTAAAACTATGGCCATACATAGTAAATAGTTTGTTTTATTACAAAAATAAATTTAAATAACGAGGATGGAAAAAATATTTAAAAAAAATAAAGGAATTATTAATTTTGGAAAGAAGAATTGACAAATATTAACAAAAATGGTTTGGGGAAAATGAAACAAATAAGGCCGCATAAATGAAAAGGTTGGGTTTAAATAAATTTAAAAAATGCATTATTACGTCGGCCACGCCCCTTTACTTTCCCCTTCATTTAATTTTTCCTTCGTTTTTT